CTCGGCGTCCCAGGCGGTGTGAATGTCCACAGAGCGGGGAATTGCTGGCAAACGTCACCTGAAGGTGCAGGAACGAAAGGAGGAGCGGTGGGGCAGAGGTCAAAATAACGCAGTCTCGTGGTTTGGGGGGGGGGCTGGTTAATAAGGAGCAAAAAGCTTTACAACATTGCAGTCCTGGCTTGGGATTTTTCATCTCGTGTAGTTACAGAAAGCGGCAGATTCGTGGGATAGCGGGGGCGAACCTCTAGGGTAGAAGTTCGATGGCTGGGGGAGCGGTGGGAGGCACCGCGCCTGGCCAGAGGTGCTGAGGCAGCCTCAGCTGCTGCAGCGAGTCCGGGCTCGGTGGGTGACTCTGCAAGAAATTGGTAACAGACACTCACGGGATTCCGGCACCCAGGGAGACGAGATGCTGCCAGTCAGCTGCAAAACAGCAGCAGTCACGACATGCTTTTGCCTCGCCGACCAGCAGTGGCTCGCCGCTCCCACATGGCCCTGTGGGTGGGCTCATGGTGGTACCCACCAGTTAATACAACCTGTCCTAAGAATGGCAAGCCAGCTCCCAGGCTGAGAGGTTATTCTAAGCCTGGCGAGCTTTGCCTTGCACATAAAGTAACTTTATTTCCTTCTGATCCAGGTCCTGCAGATCAGATTTCCATTATTTCCTTATGGAAGAAGCACAGGGGAGTGCAAGGATGCGCCTTTTTGGAGCAGTAATGGTTAGAGCTCCATGACTGATCTGGGCTGGGCAGACAAGGGCTCGCCTGAGCTATCTGGGTTATAAAGGTCAAGTCAAAGTGGAGAGGTCAAATCCTTTCATAAGCGAGGTCTGTCTGATGGGAAGGTACCACATTTTATAAGTTAAAATTTGTCTACAGTGATTTGCCAAACTGTTTGCCTGAAACAGTTCCCAGGTGTATCCCTTTTGGAAACTGGATATATGTCCTGGATCATCTTGTACCTGTAGCCGGGGCTTTAGTGTTCCAGGAAAATTAGCCATTTTATTTTCAAATACTCTTTGCAGCCTCTGTAACAAGAAGTTTTGAGTCACATGGCCTAGTTTCTTTGCCTTCAGGCATCAACAGTTTAAAGATATTTTAAAGCAGTTTCTTGTGTTGGTGGAAACTTTCTCAAATGACTTGGTTTTTCAGTGTCTTGCATTTCCATAGCTAAATGTCCTGCCTACCTTAGTTCACAGCTTTGAAGCTTCTAAATTGCATTTCTTTCTAGAAACCACAGGAACAGAGAAAGTGTGGCCTATTTCTGAGCAGCAAGTTTGGGCAAATCCTGATCCCAGCCATCTCAATTACAGAATTTCCATTTGTTTTGGCAAGACCAGATTTCATCTCTAGTTCTTTAGGTTTCTGAGAAAAAAAATAATAAATCATTTCCACTACTCCTCTTAGAGGCTCATAGATGTGCTTGGCCCCAGCAACAGAAGGGCCAGACCTCCAGAGAAATCTTCTGGAGTCTTCATGTTCCTGTAAAACTGTAAAAACCCTATGGATATGAAACAGGGGCCTGATTCTCATGTCTGGAGTAGGTGTGGAGTATCAGACTAAATGACCCAGTTTGAATCAAAAAAGAATCTTCTGAGCGTGCATCAGAGGAGCTGGAGGAGTAACTGCTTAAATGCCGTGGCTGGGTACAAGAGTGTAATGTCTCAAACATCAGT